ATCCGTTCTCACATCAGCTAACTTTTTTCGGAATTCCTTAGCTACCTCCATCCACAAATTCGCTTTCGTAAGGTCATTTAAACAACATTTATTCTTCCACCTCCTAAGCAATAAATATTCTGAATACATGTAATAATAAAATTGTCCTATTTAAGAGCTGTCACCTTCATTTTACTGTTATCTTGCTGTTACTTACATATTATCAATGTTTTTAATCATTAAGAATATTTATGTACAAATTAATATGTTTACTTTAATTTTATGGTTAGATTATTATTATTATGTTAACTAATTTTCCAGAAAAATGTCACCTTTCTGTTCGTTATAATTATACTTAGGGGGACTAAATATCTCAGAATAAAATTTTCTTTTCTTCTTCCATTAATTTTCTTAGCGATTTTTCTAATTATTATTTCTTTAAAAGATGTAAAGTCATTCATAATAGTATGTAACAGAAATGAATAAGAAGCTATCCCATTGGGTCTTTAAAATTGTTAGGCTTTGATGTAATATTGAGTATTTAAAACAGATATGGCGTACCGACAGAATAATATCTAAGGATTATTTTTTTATTTTATTTTATTTTCATATCGATACTCTCGAAATAATGTAGTACATTATTGATTGATTCGTCGCACTTTATCATTCATTTTTATTTCGAAAACGAAATTGCAGTTTGAATCAGGAACAGGTCGAGAGGGGGGATATGGGAACACCCTAACAACGAAAGAGGGTGAGAAAGAGGGGTCGTTTCCTAATGCTTTCAAACCAATCTTCCAGCCAAGGATCAGGGGGTCAGACAATAAACGGTGGAATAAAGACTCTTCAAAGGAAATGAATAGAAAAATCAAACTAATAAAAAATAAGTTATCCTGGTATGTATGAATAATCAACAACTACAAACAAGACATATAAATAAATTGTATACTAAATCCTGGATTCGCTAGTGTTTCATTCAAAACGTAGGCAACATCGGAATTGATAACTAAAACGAATTTAAATTTAAAAATACTGGTTGTAAAATAAGATTAAAACCTAACACACTTTCAAATTTTTGTGGATTGATGGTTGATTTTAGTGAGTAAGCTTTGTCTTCCTATGGTATTATGTATTATCATATTGCTACAGGATCAGCGGTCTGATCTTGTGGAATCCATTCGTTCGACACAGGCGGAACTACGGGGGGGCTTTCGGACTGAAGCCCCCCTCCCCCCAAAATGGTAAAATATAACCATGTTTTACACACAAAAATATTAAAAACTATCTCTTAAAATATTCTTGTTCGTGCAATTACATTTAATAGGACTTCAAGAACCACTTAAACATCATTTCATACAGGTAGTTAATTTCTTTCTTTCTTTTTTCAAATTAATTATCGTTATATGTATATGACGAAAAAAAATCTTTCGGGCTGAAGCCCCTCCCAAAATTAAATCCTGGATCCGCAGGTGTCGTTCGACCAGCCCTGATGAAGGCCTGAACTTTGGGCCTAAACGTTGGCAAAAATTAAATAAATATAATAATTTATTTTTAATTTTCTATTTTGATTGATTGCCCCAATCATTCTTCTCTTCAATTATTCAATACAGTCAACCATCAATCCACAAAAATTCTAATAGTGTGTTAGGTTTTAATCTTATTTTACAACCAGTATTTTTTATTTTAAATTCATTTTAGTTATCAATTCCAATGTTACCTATGTTTTGAATAAAACTCTAGCTGATGTAGGACATAATTTTGGGAGAGGAGCTTCATCCAGAAAGCAATATATATATTGGAAGAAGAACAAAGATGCTGACTACCTATATGAAATGGTGATTAAGTTATTCTTGCAGTCCTCTTAAATGTCATTACACGAACAATAAAACTTTAATAGATAATTTTTTTATATTTTTTACCATAAAACATGATGTTTTACCATTTGTGGGGAGAAAGGGAGAGGGAGGGGCGCTTTAGCACGAAAGCTCCCCCGTAGATCCGTCTGTGATTTGAAATAGTCCATCTTATTTTCTAATAAAAAAAAATATACCACTGCAAAATTACAATTCGATTTTATAACAAACAACTGTAATATTGGGATAGTATATAAAAATTCCACAATTATAAAAAAAAAATTTAATTTATAATTTACAAACATTTTTCCTTCAACCACATCAGCAAAGAGGATCTATATTGCACAGTTCAGTAATGCAGAAAATTATCATAATTACTTAAAATTTAGTTTGTGCATCCATCAATTCCTTGATTATACTTTTCTTTTTTGCGAGAACTCGTTACCATCACATAACAGTTCTCAAAACACTGGTTAATTTATTATTACTAAAATTAACATCGAACGCATTCCGGGCATCAATTAAGGGTCTTCGTTTTTTGAAGCATCAAGAAAATTCGAAATATAACAAGTAGTCTTAAGCATTAACGGATCCAGGATTTAATTTTGAAAGGAGCTTCAGCCCGAAAGATTTTTTTTTTGTATAAATGTATTAGAATAATGACCAGAAGAAAGAAAGAAACTAACTACCTATATGAAATGGTCTTTAAGTGGTTGTTGAAGTCCTATTAACTGTAATTAGACGAACAATAATACTTTTAAAGATAATTTTTTTAATAAAACATGGTTATATTTTACTTTTTTGGGAGAGAGGGGCTTCAGCCCGAATGCCTCCTCCCCCCGTAGATCCACCCGTGGTCATAAGCAGCGTAGTGTTTATTTAGTAAGTTCGTTTTTACCGATTTTGTAAAGAAAAAAACTTCAATTTTCAAGTTTGATAAATAAACTTGAATGAGATCTAGTTAATGTTTTGAAACAATTGGAGCAAAAAATACTAGATAGTTATTGTATGAAATTTCATGGGTGCTCAGAAGAGGAGTTCGCATAGCGTATGCTGGACCATCAAAGTTTATGAGAAGGGCACATTTTTACGGAGCTTTATATTTTTGAGGAGGATACCATATTTTTTGGGGAGTTTCAATTTGGCAGAAATTCCAAACCAGGAAACACCAGCAAACGATGGAAAAAATTAATTGAAATCGGTAACTCACTGACTGTTACCATCCTTTTTTAAGTGCACAATGTTCTTATTTTTCCGAGAGGAAAATAATCAAGGCACTTTAGGATTTAATTGAATTAAATGTTACTTAATGGCTTTTTGTAATGAATCAATATTGATAATTCAAATTCTTCTGAAATTCAGGCCTAGTTTAAATATTTAAAAATGTTTAATATCTGATATACATCTACAAAACATAATAATAATGAAACTTCACTTTAATGGCGGAAGTTTAAATTGACTGAATAAAATGCACTATTCCAACTGTTGGAGTTAAATGGAAAAGACAAGCTACATGATAAGACACCAGGTGCGCCGCCATCTGCTCCTGTACAACCTTAAATAAACATATAACAGCTAAATTTATTCTAGAATTTTAAATGTTTGATCTATTTATACATTTGGTCTTCATACATTTCATAGAAACTCTATTGTATCTAAGAGTGCGGTCTTTTTTTTTCTCAAGTATCGCCAGTCACTTTTAGTAACAGTTCTTTTTAGTAAAATAACAGTTATTTTTTAGAAAACGCATGACATAAAAGAATAAATGTTTAATTAATTTAATCGGCAGGGTAAAATTCCATATAATGTCTTCTGTAACATTTTCTTTTTCTGTGTAATATGGCTTTCTTCATAATTATTTTGATGCCCTTTATTTGTGATGAAAAATTATTGATTAATTTTAAGATTAATTTCAATAAAACAATACGTTTATGATTCAAGTTATAACCTCATTAGTACAGTCGTAATAATTTATTAAATCATGTGTATTTGACAAATCTGTAACAGTTCTAAATAAGTGACAAAAAAGTAACTGGGGATACTTAAGTAAAAAAAGTATATATAAACCTAATAGTAACAACATCTAATTATAATATCTTAAGATCACCAAACAAATAAAGATCAAGAATTCAGAGACGTTATTTCCGGGAGACGTTTGAAATCATATATCCTGGCGGAATTGTCCTTATCAATTTTCAAAGATAAATATTTGCATGACTTTGAGATTCATTGCACAGACTGTTGGATAACAAAAAACATTTTTGTTTCATGGAGAGGGGGGTAATGGTATTGGAATCTAAGAATTGAACAATTCTACCTGAAGCGAAATAATTCAGTTCCACTTTTATATAACACTAAACCAAACAAAACGGATAACACGCCCTAAAATTGATTTTGTAATTTCGTCCAGGCGAAATGTCATGACTGATTTAAATCTACAAAAGAGCATTAATATTACTTTGGAATAAAAATGTAAAAAAAATTGTTTTTTCGATGTTATCAATTTCATTATTATTAGAATTCTCATTCGGTCTTCCTTTGACTATCTGGGTCTTCGCAGCGAATACCACAAAAAACAGAAATTGGATTCGTTTAGGAATTAAAATCGTTAATTTTTTTTAAAAATAATAACCGTAGTATGTTATTTTGTGATTACTCGTTTTGTGAAATGTTTTATTTATATTTTGTAATTATCTATTTGAAGTCTTATTTAGATTTCACAAAAGTATATATAAGCAGTAAAAAAAAATAATAATAAAATCACTTGACTGTTAAAGATGACTGATTGATTCAAGAATCAATTTTATTGCAGTTGTAACTCTCATAAATAGCTAGGCCTAAGAGGAACAATGCTTTAATGTTATTTCTTGTTGAACACATCTGCAGTACACAAAAACTAAATTTACATCAAAACGGTGTTTCGTTTTACCGTTTGAGAATTGTTAATAGCAGTTATTGAGTTACGGATAAAGAAATCAAATATGTGAAAATCATATACAACTAAAAAACATACATCTTACTGGAAAGGAGAGAGGAAGTGCCTATAATAAAAACAAAAACCTTGGAAATTCAAGACATAAAAAATATAGAGGATTGGTTTTAACAACGTTTTAAGTACTTAAGAAAGCGATAAATACATAAATTACAACAGTAAAAGAAAATCCTTACTTTGGCATGTTCAGTCTCATTGTGCAGTTCTTCCAATGTAGGCCTGACTGCAGCTTGGATGGACATGATATTCCTATAGTTGTCCATCCTGGGAAGAGCTTCCCTAGTAAAGTGCCGGAAACTCTTTGAGTAAGAAGCGAGATATTCTTCATCTTCGGCTTTAAGGGGCTCCAATTCTTCTTCATGTCCACCTTCCCGGTCTAAGCTTCCTTTACTTCCGTTCTTCCCTTCTACCCGATTCACCTGGAATCTCGGTCTCCTCTCTTCGACCTGAAACATTTCTAATTCTGGATCGGTCATTGGTGCGGACGGATCGGGATACGGATGTAACTAACCGAAGACCGATACGGAACTGGAGTAACCGAATCCTCCGACTGTAAAGGACAAACAAAAAACGACTCCAGTATCCCCTCGTGAGCAGGACCCCCCACCACAATCTCTGCGCTACCGGTCTGCCCAAACGTTTGTGGGTAATCATTCACTTTCGTTGTAGTTAAGAATTAAAACGTATTATTTCTTTACAAATAATAAATCGAAAATATCCTCGCTTTAACCCTAAAATATGAGTAAACTGAGAGTGTTTAAGTATTTTACACATTGATCAGCAGCAGTTATCTATTAATCAGAGAATTAAAAATATTTATATTTTAAAAATATTTTAAAGTTCATATTTTCTCACATAGTCTGGAAATTAGTCGTACTAATTTAATTTTATAAACATTATCAAGTAACAGCTGATACTACAGACACGGCAGCTTGAATGATGTGTCTCATCAGTTTTATTTATTTCTGTTAATTAAGGTGAATTCGCGATGGCAGTAACATTGTGGGGATTGTTAGAGGCTTCAATATTGTTCCTCAATGCCGTTTGTGTTCTTCATGAAGAAAGATTTTTAGCAAAAAGTAAGTTTGAAATATTTTGATATCACTACAAAGTGTAACCTCCCTGTTGGAATCATTAGTGCTGTATCGGTCTTACAGTTTTTTGGGAATTGATTATACAAATATTGCCTTTTTAAATATTTGTTACAAAGCTGATTAAATAAAGCTTCATCTAGAATATATTATTTGTAAGTGATCTTACCTCCCAACTTGTATTTTACCTGTGATGTGGCTCATCCACATTTTTAATATTGAATATGACCTAATTTGATAAGTATGAGTCAAGTAATTTGAGTTTTACATATTTTTTTCCTAACTACTAGATGGTGTGCAATGAGTATATGTTAGCAAGTTATATTCAGGTCACTTTTCAAAGATTGTTAGACAGAAATGAATTGTCATGGAGGTATCGATCCCTAAAACTTCATATTGAGTTGTTAGAAATGAATATTCTACTCAATTTTTTCATGATGTCAAATAATTACTTACTAATAGCACTTTTCAATAAAGTTCATTTAATAAAAATGGTCTTATATTTTCATTCAACTCTTTAATTTGAGCCATACCATGCGGAATGCATTAAAAAAACATCATAGGCATAAATTTTGATAAAGGCATAAAAAAAGTTGTAATTATTAGTCATTGAAAAGTAATTAAGTTGGTAAAATAAAAATGACAAACTCGATTCAATCTGGACTTTTATGTTTTGATTTAGAGATGAAAAATTATTGCGATGAAAATGATGCATAAATGATTTTTCAGGTACATTACAGACATTAGTGGTCCTAGCTATTTCAAAAATTTTTCTAGTTTAAGATAAGTTGTTTGGAGTGCTCAGTAAAAAAAAAATAAAAAATTATAAAAATAAATACAATTTTTAATTTGTTTTACTTTTTTACTGAATACCCCAATCAACTCCTCTTCAATTATTCACTACAGTCACCCATTAATCCACTATTAAGAATTATTCTATTTTATTCTCACAAGCTGCAACTTACAGCGATTCAACCATAAATTTTAACAATATCGGATATTTATCTTTTTTTGTGATATACAATTAATATTATTTCTTTATAATTTTTGTTCAAATTTAATTTCTTCCTTAAGATTCCTCTTCGTTCAAATCAATGACCCTGAACTTTAGGTGATTTATTCACTTTAATTATTGGCCATTTTGAGATGCGGTCATCAAAGCATGAATTGGCTTCAAAAAAGACAAAATTATTTTCAACTTATGTGTAAGGTATTGATATAAAAATGTAAATCCTCACATTATCATATATACTTCTTTTTTTTCAGTGGGATGGTGGAGAGCACCAAGTATACAAGGCTTTGGTGAAAAACCTACTCTGAAAAGCCAATGCTTACATTTAATGCATTCTATCAGAACAGTTACGAGGAGTAAGTATCATAATAATGGTCTGCTGTATAATGTAATATATTACTAATAAATATTTGTTGATACTTAAGATTTAAGCAACGATACAATACTACTTTTTCAATTATCAAACTGGTAGGCAGCAAATTATTTAAGTAAGAGAAGAATTTTTTTTTTTATACTTGTTTTTTTTTTTGTTTTATGCTCATCTCAAATAAATATTACTTTCATGATAATTTGAGCTGAGAGGTTTATGATATGCCATTGTTATAATGATTTAAATAAGCAGATATAAATATATATGTTTCAAGATAAAAGGCTTATAGAAGGAAACATAAAATATTGAATGATAATATTTAGAAAAATTACTTTAGTAAATATTTTGTTACAGATCAGTTTGTAATGATTATATTGCATGTAACTCATCTGTTGGTAAAAATATTATTTTTTATTGAGGTTACCAAAACCATTTATAAATAGTAAAACTAATACAATATGAAGAGTAGCAGAAAATTACTTGAAACATTGTTGAAAATTAAAGTTAATGTCTACAGTGGTTAGCAGTATTTATCAGGCATGACTGGTAATAACTCGATCATTTCATATCTTACCAGTATCAGTTAATAAGTACGTTTGCCAAAGACTATAAAATCATTCTAAATTAAATTGTTTAATATTATATACATTAAACAAATATTACCATAAGCGGTTTAATTAGCCTCTTGTAGCGAACAAATTTAAGTTAAATAGTAAATGATTGTTTTAAATTATAAAACATAACTTATTTACTCCTAACCTATAGCTTATTATAATTTTATATAAATTTATAATATTTTAGACTTGCATATACGTATATATATTTAGATAGTTTATTTACTAATATTTATGTTTTATGAAATCACATTTATTTTACATGAATCTGGCTCAGATATTGTTATTCAAAGATTTTTTTTTTTTTCTTGTAACCCTCCAAAAAGTTTATTTAATTAAATAACGGTAATAAAAAAAGTATAACAATACTACTATATACAAATAACAAAGTCCTTCCACTGCCCGAGGGCAGTGTCATTCAAAGTACAAAATGTAAAAAAAAAATGATATTTTCTTAGGATTTGATTCATTAATTGAATGGCCCATGAATAAAGGTGATGATTACTGTAATAATTTACAGTTATATCAAAATTGAAATTAAATTTTGACAATGGCACATTTTTTTAACGAAACCTCTCTAATTTTAAAAAAATCTAATTTTTTTAATAGACAAAAACTATGATTTTTGCATGTCATGTATACAATTTCACTTATTTGGGGATTTTACTGCACGATTTTTCACCTTTAGAGTTTTTTATTGCATGTTTTCGGTTTTTTACTCTACGGAAATCTGGTCTCTATTTATAACCTAATCTTCACCGATGAATTGAAAAGTATCCAAATATTATATTTGCTATATTATATTATTGATTTAATAATACAACCTTAACTGTGCTGTTCCCTTATTAGATAATAAAGTTGTTAAATCAATCAAAGTTTTCCAAAAGCATAAGGAAAACAATTTTTTTAAGAAGACCCATGAAGAGTCTTGGTATTATATTAAATATAGTTAATGTTTTGTAATATTTGGCAAAAAAAATGCTAGATAGTTATTGTATGAAATTTCAGGGGTGCTCAGAAGAAGAATTTGTATAGCATATGGTGGGCCATGAATTTTATGAGAAGGGCACATTTTTACGGAGCTTTATTTTTTTGAGGAGGATACCATGTTTTTTGGGGAGTTTAAATGTGGTAAAAATTGTGAATCATAAGGATAGCTGAAACCTTTTTGATCAAGGCATTGGTTGTAATATTTCTAATTCTAAATTAACCGTCATATGAGAATAAAGATCTTGAAAATATTTATTCAAATAAGATTGCCCAAATAAGATTCAAATAAGAAATTTAATTTTCACAAATAGGACAAATATATTTTAAAAAATTACATATTCTAACTTTATTTGTTCGTGCTAATCTATAATATTTTCATAAACCCACTATGTTAGTTACTACCATACATGTTTTAATTGTCCTTTTAGTTTACAACCTCTCTCAGGTTATCTTTGAATTCTTTCGAATTATTTATTTTAAAGGCTTTAATTTTTCTTGTGCTGTGTGTTTGGGTGGAATTAAAAATAAAACATTTGTTGGAATTACCAATTTTATCAAATTGTTAATATCCTCCTGAAACATTGTAAATGGCTTCGTCGCATCGTAACCTACAAATTTTTTATCTACAAAAATTCTCAGAAATCGGCTTTTTCTCATTAAAAAATTCATTCAATGATGTATTAATAACTCCAACCACAATGTATTAATCACTTGAATCATAACATAATTTGATCACAAAATTGGAAAAAAAAGTATGTGGCCTACAAAAATATTGGGCCATTTCTCCTGTATAACCTCGTTATTTTGTCATGTTTGGGGCAGAGTTCATGACAAATGGCCCAATATTTTTATAGACCATATTGTTTCTCAATTTTGTGATCAAATTATCTTACGGCTCAAGTGAAAAGCGTGTTCATGAGTTTTTAAAATCTAATTAAATAGACAAAGTTTGCCGATCTCCAAATTGAAAACACCACAATTCCAAGAATTTTCGTTAATAAAAAAGTTGTAGGTTATGATAAGATGAAGATATTCACAAAGTTTTAGGTGGATGTTAATAATTGGAGAAAAAAGCTTCTGTACCACAGATTACTAATTTTTTGTCTAAATTTTGAAATCTGAGAAGTGGTACCAGATCTACACCTACTATCTGGTGGATTATCTCTCTTAAAAATTATTGAATATTCCTGACGTTATCTTTAATATTAATAACTCCACTTGATTTGTATTATCTAAAAATAAGGCCTTTTTTTTATCTCTTTAAAAGTAAATATAAAATTACATTGCCTGTGCTAGTCATTCAAAAAAACATTAAATCGTAAATCAACATCAAACCGTAAATCTTAGACAAACGGGCAACTGAACAAGTGATTTCATTAATAAAGAGGAAACTTGTCTA